CCGCATTGTGATTGTTCTCTTTTCGAATTGCTTGGAGTCAAGTAAAGAGAACAATCACAATGCGGGACACTTCTTTTGGAATCAATCCAATGACTAAACAACTCGGGAGATCATTTTTCCTTTGAAACATACATGCTTTCTGGGCAGATTTGTATATTTTGATTTATCCTTTTTGGTATTGTATTTCGTAGCATGCTTAATCCTCATAATGTGCTTTTTATTCAAGAAACCGATAATTCCTGTATCGGCAAACCGAGAATCATTTTGGAGTCTATAGTGTATTTGGTCGTACATTTTCTATAATTTTTTGTGGAATCAAATATTTGATTACACTGTGCTATTCAAATTGATTATTACAGTTATCAATAAAAGAAAAGAGAAAGGAAGTAATTTGATTTGAATATTATCATCATTTTTGGGTTTCCATAGTATTCTAAATCTTAAATCCAACCAGGAATGCATCTGTCTATCCTCGTCTGAAAGAAATCTTAAAGCTCTCAATATATCTGCAAGGATAATTAGACACTCAAATGCATCATTTTATGTTGACTGTTGCAATGTGGTCCAGTACCTGCTAAATTGATAAATATGTCTGCCTTTTCACATCCAATGTTTTGAGAAACGGAAATAGAGTTCTCTCATTTTTAGAGAGAGAGTGACTGAGAGAGCATGAGCTGCAAAACTTCAACAGTATGTCACTTCTTCAGCAAGTCATCAAGGGAAAACAAGATGAACAAAAATCTATACTAAACTGAACATTTACACTGCTATTTGGTTGGTGTAACTGCTTTGTGTTACTTTTAAGAGAACAGGGGCCTAAACTTGCCCTCGATGTACATGACTATATGTTCCTTCTGCCTGCTACATTTTTCAGTCATTAGTGCAGTTGTTCAGTATGGAATCAGTTTAATTCTCCTCCTCCAGGGTGGTGCTTGACTGTCCCTCTTATTCATAAAGGATAGTACATGAATCATTAGTGACACAAAAGAATCTGTGGAGATAGGATGAAATGGTGGACAACTGTGATGCCCAAGCTGTGTTCAGCTACTTTGCTGTGCAGTATAAGTACCAACAAAACCAGAGCCCATTGTGAGGAAGGACAGAGATAGAGGGAAGATGAATATGAAATATAGGTTTGTTCTGAAGATGCAATTGTGACATGCAGATATCAAGAGGAGTACTCCCATCCCCAGTTCTAAGAAATGAAACCTGTCAGCAAAAAGAACAAGGGGTGGGTTAAACATCCCTGAAAGGGATTTAGACCAAGTTTTTGTCCAATAATTGTCATCAGAATTACCTTTTCCAGAACTTGTTTGGACATTTCTTAGCAGCTGTTGAAGTTTGTATAGTCTTTGATGCATTCCCTGCTTTCTCTGTGACAACCCATTCATTTACTCTCCCTGCATCAAACAGACCAATGAAGACTGCTTTGCATCGATGCAAGGACATGACGCTTTCGAAGAATATCCAGATGATAATTAGATGTAAAGACCTGTCAAAATGATGAGAAATAAAAAATGTGAAAAGAGAATGATTTGATCAAGATGCGTATGATGTTTTCAAGTGCAAAAGAAATTACATAGGAAAAGTGTCAGACCTTGGGGTTCCAATTGAATTGAGAAGGGTAATGGCTATTGGGATATAGAACACCCCCCATTTTGGAATCACAACTTCAGGGAAAAATGAAGATGCTGGAATGATGATGCAGTAGAAGAAGAAAGTCACATTGTGGGATAAAATCCTTCTTGCCAAGAAGAAGTTGTAGAGCAAAAAGAATTTCTTCACAAAAGGCACTTTCTGTAGAGAAAGAGAAGTCAAACAAAATGAGACACAAAACTTTAGGCTTCACTGAGAATCTGGCAACAACTGTTCATTATGTGATTTCTGTTCTTAATCAAGCTATGCATACTTGCACAGTATGATGCTCACTCATAACTTCATAATCAGTGGATTGAAGTGAACAACTAAGAATAAGAGCTAACCTTGGCCATTATTATCTCTGTTGTCATTTTCTTGAATAAATTTGCAGGTCCGCAAGCCCAACGATGTTGCTGATAACGGTAGGCTTTATAATTGCTTGGTAATTCACTTTTAACCTAGAAAACCAATATCAAGATCAAGTACGTTATTAACAATTTGATGTCATTGACAGATTAATTTTCTAAAGAAAAATATATAGCGTGCAGGAGACTGTAAAATCTTATTGGTCTTGCACTTGCAACTTCTGAAGACAAAAGTGATACAAATTCTTTTCTTTTTTCGCTTTTTTTTGTGCATTTTCTGCTTCTTGAATATTTATTATGATGGAGTATCTGCATTGTGCCATATCCATTTCCATGCTTCAGAGTGGATAGATTCTGTCACAGAGAAAGGAGTTTGCTGCCTTGTTCTTGTAGGTTTTGCACAATTCTGTCTCTTGTTATACATGCATCACTTTGGAATTGCTAGTTTAGCTAGAGGTTGACGAGTAAACACAAACCTTAAGGTCTCCAATATATACAAATTTCCAGCCTTGAAGTGTTGCTCTAACAGCCAAGTCCATGTCCTCAACTGTAGTTCTCTCTTTCCAACCTTCTGCTTCACTAATAGCTAGAATTCTCCAAATACCAGCAGTTCCTAATGCAAAAGAAGGAAATCAGTAGACCATGTCAATGAATCATGCTAGAAACCTCAAATTATGCACGTCCTGGCTATCTCGATACAAAGATTAGAAGGTGGTTGATTACTTATCTTGCTTGTTGACTGTTCATAAGTTGGGTAGAGATATAATACTTATGACTGGTATAATTTAAGCTCAGCATGGATTTTATATTCGTTTAGCCACATATTTTACTATGCATGAGAGTATAAGACCTAAACGAAAATGCTGCATTGTCCATCCTGATACTGTTTAGAAGGCTTTTCATGTGAGCTTGTTTCATGGTAGACTATAATGGTTAAAATATGAAATTAACTGTTCTTGATGCAATGTAAGGATTTTTGTCAGTTTAATTAACATTTGAATATTATTCTTATTTCCTTACAATTGCAGTATGCTGAATATTCAGTGATACTTACCAATCATAAAACCTAAAACAGGGTAAACTTACCATTAAATCCGAAAAATGCCATAGTTGAAGAACCTGATTGTTGTTCCACTTTGAAATGGTAGTTCAATGACATCTCTTGTATCCTTGTCATTACACATTCATTGGCATTCTCTGCAGAGAAGTCAGTCATCATCTTGGCATTAACTTTCGAGTGCAATGAAAAGAATCTCCAGTGTCAGCTTAAACTTTGTTTAACATGAATTGCATCTTCAAATGCATGCTGTTCTTGATTCATAAACTTACCGAACTTCCAACGTGCTTGAACAAGACCGATTTCGGGATTATGGATGAGGAAAGGGATGGTTCTCATAAGAAAATCTGATGGAGGCTCATGATCTGCATCAAATATCGCGACATAATCGCATTTCTTCACATAGTCGAGATCCATTGCTTCTTTCAGGGCACCAGCTTTATACCCATTCCTGTTGTCCCTTGATATGTAATGTATGTTCCTTCGCTTCTTAGACCATTTCTCACATTCCTCTTGCACCAGTTCCTGCACATCATTAGGTTTCATGTCATTCTCCAAAACATACTGATTGTGCTTCATTTGCAGTGCAGGTGTCTGAAAGTGTAATTTGATGTCATGATGAAGATGGATGACAGCTCTCTTGAAAAAGAGAAAAACAAAGAAAAGATGATTTCATCAGATGACATAGTCATTTATGATGCATCAGAAATGCAACTTTTTGACTGCTAGTTATGTTTTCATTTGGAACAAGGTATGAACAAGCTCAATTTATCTCCACCTTAATGTATAAATCCACAGAATAGATCAAAATGTGTTGCAAATATACTACTGGTTATTGATGAGTAAAAGAGATTCTTCAAATTGAAAGAGTGTAGTAAGTTTTCTTCACAATGTCACATTGATCATGTTTCAATTTATTGCAAGAAACCTAACCCTAATTTTTAGGTCTGTTGAATCATCTAGAACTTGTATTATGAGTCTGTCATATGGCCATTCCAGCATGCACACTGCTCCAATTGACATCTGGTAAACCTGCAAAATGCAGTTTGTACATCATTAGAGCACTCAGAGAACAACATGGGAATATTTCCTCAAAACCTTGATAAACAAAGAATTGGAATCTAAATGTGGAAAGTAAATTTGGAAGTATTATATTGCACAAGCATGTAGATAAAGTAGTATATAAAGAGCAAAAATTGGACCTTTTCTTTTTATCCTAATTTTGATGCTTAATGGTGCATAATGATTGTCATGTTGTTTTCCAAAACATGTTTCTTATTGGAGTCATTAATCCCTTTATGTATTATCCTTTTTTCTATGAACTTGATCTCATTTGTGTTTCTTCAAAGTGACACCTGAATGGCAATCCTTAGCTTAGCTTTAATGTCCACTGTCTTCCAGAATGCCATGAGTTGGCAGCACACTGACATATCTTTAGCTGGCAGATAAGTGACTTTTAAGAGGGAGGGAGGGAGATGTGTTAAATGGATCGAGTACTCCAAGACACCAAATTCACTGACTGTAGAGAGAAAAAGAAATGTTAGGAACAGCTGACTCCCTGAAATGATAGAGAATTGAGCAGTGAGATTTGGCCATTTTGAGTAAAGAACAAGAGCTGGATTCTGCCTGCATCTACAGTCAAAGAGCTAGAGAAGAAAACTGAAACTGCTAGAAGAATTCATCAAAAAGATATTGTAATCCTTCCACATACATATAAGATTAAAAAAAAAATGAGAATGATCACATGGAGCAAGGAGTGGCTGGGTCAGACAAGGAAGAAGCACAGTAGCCCTGAACTCCTCATATAAGATAAAGGTGCACCATTAGAGACTTTGCAATAGTATATGATCAGAGCAATCCTCCATAATGCACTCCACTTGGTTGCCACTACTATGATGTTTTCTTTGTTAAGCTGACCTCAGAAATCTGCTATTGTAAGTTGACTGAATCTCAAACAATTTAAGTTTATCAGAAACATTTCAGTGTGATCCATTCCACCTAGACAGCTTGTTCTTTTCAAAAGGTTAGTAGCATCTAAAACCACAAAGCATTGAACCCTAGAGTAGTGAGTGAAGGATCCAACTCTGTTCTATATTCTGCAGAATGCGATGGATTGAACAGATCTCATTCTTCCATTCCCTCACACCTTGCACACTATCTCACAGACTTGTGAACTATGTTCCTAAAGAGATTCCATCAAACCATCTATCACATGAATGTAGTGAGTGCACTGAGATATATGCACTTGATGTCCAACACCTAAAGTCTGTGAGATTGCAAATTATGTGTAGGGTATCATATATGGGAAAGTTATAAGATGTTCCTCCAAAATCATCCATCCAACTTCAACTCTCAATGTCAATCATTTGCTTGTTTGATCAGATTGATTTATGATATTTCTTATTCAAAGTAGAAACACAGGCAGAATGATACAGGGTTCCTGCAAAATCATTCATTCCACTTTTCTTTTAATCTTGATTGCTCGATCTTTTTTGCGATATTTTGAGAATTTGAGATAGGAGTGTGATGTATATTTTTTGTGAGACCTTTGTAGCTTTCCTGCACCAGAATAGCTGCACAGAGTTTACATTCTTTTTTCAGAGAAAAATCATAGTTTTCCAATGTGAGTATTTTGATCACATCTACATCTATCATACAATTTCTGATGCTTCCTGGTTTGCATGCAGATATTATTCCCCTTCATAACTTTCCTATGAAGGATACACTCTACATAGAACTTACATTCCTTTCTTGTCAGAGGATTTCTAATACATTTCATCCATCTATTACGATCTATCTATGCAAAACGAGCTGTTCCAGGTACAATTTGCTTCAATTATTTGCATCGATGTTTTGATAGATAGAATGTTTATGATGGCTAAATGTGCAGATTAAGTTACCTCCCTCTCATTGAACATGGGGATTTGGACGAGGACCAGAGGATAGGCCAGAGAGCCGAGCTCGACATCCTGCGACAATGGCGCCCACTTGTAGATCCTTTCCGGCGTGCGCCCGAAGACCTTCACGTAGAGGGCGACAAGGGCCATCGACAGCTTCTCAACTACCAGCATCACCGACATGGCCAAGCACACTACGACTGCCGCCTTCATCGACGGCACCACCACCGCCGCCCTCACTGCGGCCCACGCCGTCGCAGCTCTGTTCAACACTTCCGCGGTCGCCAAGGCCGACAGCAGATCGCAGGCTTGGTCGATGTAGATGGCCACGGTGGTGGAGACATTGCCTGCAGTGCAAACACCAGTGTAAGCATCGAGGGAGACGTACGTTAAAATGAGCTGTGGAAAGTGCTGCGTGGAGATGAGCACCTTCCATGCTCCTGACCACCTCTTCTCTCTCTCTCTCTCTCTCTCTCTCTACTGTACCAAGTCTTGGGGGGAGAGATAACACAGAGGAGAAGGACAAAGACAGCATGCATGTATGGGTTTACACTGCACTCCGTGGGAGCTGGTGGCAATCATAAAAGAGTTGGTCGATCAGAATATATCTGAATATAAAATGACCATACAAATCAGAAATTACATCAACTTTCCATGCTCTACTACTGAATTATATGGTATTGTCTATGTGCTTTAATCGTCACTTTTTCTTTCTCTTTTGATGAACTTCTGTATTATCAAGTCAAAAATAACATTACTAGTGTTCTTATTCTCATTTTGGTGGTGATGTCAGTGTCTGGGAAATCACATCAACCAAGAGAAATAGAGCTCCAAATAAGCCTGTGACAGATGATCCAAATCAAGAGATGAATACTAATTAGAAACCAGCTGAGATTGCTGCTCCTTGTTTGACTGGATGTCCCCATTCATGTGCACATGTGCCATGCAGAATAATTTCCTTGGAATCAATCAATAAACAAAGACTGCAGAGGAAGAAGTTGCATGAGTGCAGCACAGCACGACACTGCCTGTATCATCCCATTTCCCTCTCTTAGACCACCCCTTTTTAAGTCAGTCTCTGTTCCTGAGGAGTTGGTGACATGAGAGCAAATGCACAGATCAACAGTTGCATGAGGAAGAAGCCAATTATTTTCCAGTGGTCATTGATGGATATATATTATTGTTGGGGCATTCATGGTGGCTCATAATTGGCTGTCTCTTTGCACTGGGTGGTGAGAGGATCCTAAGACCCATGCAGATGTAATCCAATGGAAGGAGATTCCAAGATCATGTGGGAGGAGCATCATCAATTCTCTTTCTATAATTTTTGTTTTCTTTTTGTCTTCTTCATCTGAGTTTCCTCTTCACATGCATGCATGTGTAGAGAGATAATATTAGAATTTGTGGGATGGCAAATGAAGTCAAGGGTGAACAATTGACATATCATAATAAAACTATTTCTTTAGATTCTGAATGATAATGATGATGATGATGAGGATTTGAGTCAGAGTTTTGCATGAATCATCCACAAACATTTTTTGCTAAAGTATAATTCATTAACATAGTTCAGATCGAATCCGATCCACAAAATGAGTTGCTAAGATCAGTAGATGGAAAATTTTTCTACCACAAAAAAATTAAACATAATAAGCCCATGCAAAAATTTCAAACATAGACAATTGCTAGCCTTGAAATGTTTAGGTAGTAAACAATTCAGAAAACTTTAAATTTAAATATAATTTAGATCTCTCCCTCCCTCCCCTTCTTAATTTGCTTCATAGAATGTAGAAAGATGATCACAAAGGTCATGACTAAGGAAAAATTTTATGGATAATAGAGAGAGAGAGAGAGAGAGAGAGAGAGTAATCAATCATCACATGAGCATCCTAGGCGTGGCCGAGAGCGTTGCATGGGAAGATCATGGCCGTCCATTTAGCTTCCGCGTTCTCATGTCTACGTCAGGACAATCGCCCGGCCCAGTCAATCTGGCCAATTTTGACCGGCTCATGAGATCGGGCCAATTTTGACCGGCTCAATAGATCGGGCCCATTTTGATCGGCTTATTTGATATATAGCCCATTTAGTCCAATTATTCTGCGTGCGCACGAGGCTGTCTTTCACTGCTATCTATGGCAATCCGAAAAGCGACATTCCGGCATTGGCTGCAGACCAACCGTTTGGTAATATTCCGCACAGAGCAATTGCTTGCTTGAGTGAGCGATGGCTCTTCGGCTGCTTCCTTCCACAACGGGGAACTCACTGGGGCTGCCGTCAACGCTCTCCCAAGGATTTAGGATCCGGTTCTGTGGTAGTCTTCACCTCGCCTTTCCCAATCATTCCCGTAAGTTTTCTGATCGTGTAAAGTGTACATTGTGATGTTCGTCGGGTTAATATTGAAATTTCATTGCTTCTGCAGCGTCCTCCCTGCCATTACTTCGGGTCGAAGCGAGGAATGATTCCCGAAAAGAGAGCGCAAAGACAAGGAACCGTAGGATGCAAAGAAAGGTTCGAACTCTTCGTCCGTCTTTTATGTAACTAGTTTTGGGCTCATTGTTACGCTAGGGTTTAAGCTTTTACTGCTAATTGATGCGTGTTTCTTCTGTAAAGTACAATGGCTCGGCTACGAAGCCCAGGCTCTCTGTTTTCTGCTCCAACAAACAACTATATGCATTGCTGGTTGATGATCAAAACAAGAAGACTCTTTTCTATGCCAGCACATTGCAAAGATCCATTCGTGGAGATCCTCCATGTACCAGTATAGTAAGTGAACCTAAACATTGCAGGTGCTCTTTTCTCCTTTGAGGAATTTTGCACCTCACCATTCCTTATCTGTTCTAATTCATGACTGTTGACTTTCATATCTTTTGTTGTTTATTCGACAAAGATATCAACTAAATTGAGATCATTTGATGATTAATATGTGATAAGATATGATCCTCAGATGGGGCTTTCTCCAATTTGAAGAGAATGTCTCCCAAGTAAGAACAAGGGAGAAGGATTACTACTAAATTAATTGCAAAGATCCATTCGTGGAGATCCTCCATGTACCAGTATAGTAAGTGAACCTAAACATTGCAGGTGCTCTTTTCTCCTTTGAGGAATTTTGCACCTCACCATTCCTTATCTGTTCTAATTCATGACTGTTGACTTTCATATCTTTTGTTGTTTATTCGACAAAGATATCAACTAAATTGAGATCATTTGATGATTAATATGTGATAAGATATGATCCTCCCAAGTAAAAACAAGAGAGAAGAATTACTAGTAAATTAATTGCATAAAGATACATACATACATACATAAATAAATATATATATATATATATATATATATATATATATGTATATATACATATATATATGTATACATACATACATATATGTATGTATACATGTATGTATGTATACATGTATGTATGTATACATGTATGTATGTATACATGTATGTATGTATACATGTATGTATGTATACATGTATGTATGTATACATGTATGTATGTATACATATATATATGTATATATATATATATAAAGAGGTCTTATGGGGCAATTTCTTTTTTAATATTTTTGTCATCCCTCAAAATTTCATCAAAAGAGTTTTTAAATACAAAGATCTGGTAGCTAAATTGTCTGTCTAATTTGTATTATAATCTTATTAGGATCCTTAGAGATCAATTAATTGGATTGGAATTAGTGACATAGCTTGATTGGCCTTTGCCTTTTGCAACTCCTCTACGATTAAATCGAGCAAACTTTGGTCGCTTTGTGGTATTGTGCCAATAGGCAGTAGATTCATTTTGCACCATATCCATGTGATGTGGTGGATATTTGTTTTGAATTAGTACAGCTTTTATGTGTGCCTCAGAACCTAAAGATACATCTGATCATTTTTTATACTGACAAACAGTAGGTTTCATGTGCAGTATATGCAATTGACGTGGTGGATGATATCGACATTTTGTTGCAGATTGCGGATCACTGCTAAAAAATTAGCTGGATAGTACTTACTAGTGGTTTTCATGTGCTTCAGAACCTTGTTGATCATGTCACCTGGGAACCAACATTTCATGACTCCACTACTTCCAACATGTTTTTTAAACTTCTATATATAATTGCTGAATCTGTACGACAAAACACACACTCAAAATAGCTAGGTTATGTTGCATGGTGGATCACTTGTCAATCATTTGCAAACCTGTAAGGTCGTCCTTTGGCAAGTATCAACTTCTTTACAGCATTTATTATAGAAAGTTTCAGCATGGAGTTTTACATGTTCTATTAAAGCCTAAAGGTTATGATGGTAAGTTCCTTTTTATATGCTCTGCCTTTTCATTCACTGGTACTACTTTGGCATCAAAGCAGTTGCTTAGGCTGGCTGTCGTGGTAGTTTACTAATGTACTGTGGCAATCTATCTGTGCAAATTTTCTTAGAATTTTTAAAAAAGTTTGTCATTCTAACAATGGTACCAGAAACTTAATTTTACCAAAAATTCTTCAGTTTGCATGATGGGTTTCTTATAATGGTGCTCGGGTTTGGCTGCAGGAAGCCGCTCGAAAGGTCGGGGAGGAGCTCATCAAAGCATGCAAGGATTTGAATATTTTCGAAATATCATCTTACGATCGCAATGGATTTGCCAGGGGAGAAAGAATGGCAGCATTTGAGATACCAATCTCACGACATGGGTTCTTATTAAGATAACTAACAAGTTTCTGTTCTTCTGGTCCTAAGTATCACAAGTGGTGAAACTATTGGCTTGAGAGAGAGATGTCAGAACTAATTAACATGTATCATTTCACCTAATATTTGTGCCTATTATTCATGTTTATCGATCTTATTAACCGGCACAAGAATTGATGTTGACAGTATGACAAATTGCATGATTAATGTATCAATCACGTTAAGTGAAAGCAGCAACAATGCCTGCCAAAAATTGTTGCAGTTGTGTCATATATATGGATCCTGTCGACTATCTAATCTCCTTAGGTCAAATTAATTGTCATAATATTTCTTTTTTATTTAAAGTAAATAAAATAATCAAACGAAGAGAACCATTTGATATGCCTAAAGGGACACGTGGAGGATTAACATGTTGGTCGTGCCTAGTCAGCATCCATTTCAGCACATTTTTCACAGAGAAGACATGGAGTTGACTTTTCTGACCTTGGACTGGAGGCTGACTTAAGAACACCTAATACAAGTGTTGGTCAAATTAATTTAGTAATTTTAATTACTTTTATTTTATTTTATACATAACACACTACTGAGATCAAATTATTTTCTATAAACATGATCTTGAGGTCAAAGGAAGGAAACGTCTCAGCCAATATGTCTTTCACGTCATTGGTCGATTACGGTGAGCCCCACCAGTTCAGCGCCCAGGGAACTAATGTGACCCGTAATGAACGATTGGATGTTAGAGGGTTGGCGATCGGAACGGCTAGGATGTAGTATTGCAACATTATTGGATTAGTAATGCTTGGACAGGATCCCAACTCCTCCGTATCCCCGTACGTATATAAATAGCAGGCGGCGGGGAGGAGGTGGAGCGAGCGGTGCCTTGTTTGAAGGCCGAAGCCTCCTCGCCTTGCTCATCCTCATGGCCTTCTCCTCCCTCCTTCCCAAATCCTGCTCCCCTTTCCCCTCCTCCCTCACCAACTCCATCGCCACCACTCGATTGGCGCCGCTCCGCGTCAGCATCCGCCCTCGGGCCGACGGCCACCGTCGGGGCCGCTCCTTCCTTACGAACCCTATCTCCAACCCTCTCCACTCTCGATCGGCGCCCGCCCGCCTCAGCTTTCGCGCTCGGGCTGAAGGCCGCCGTGGCAAACCCGAGGCACCACCGCCGCTGCCCCCGTCCCTGCCCCCCGAGAAGAAGTCGTTCGCCGTGGCCACCGGCGAGCTCTTCTTGGGCCTCGCATCGTTGCTCGTCAGGAGCAGGGGCTCAGCTTTCGTCGCCGTGCCCCCTGACGCGGAGGTCTATGTTGACGGTAGAGGGGGTTCGAACGGCTCTGTGGTGGAGGAGTCGGTCGATGGAGATGTGATCTGGGAGCAGAGGTCGAAGGATGTGGAGGCCGAGAAGGAGCGAAAGAAGGTTACGAGCCCAGGGTTCAGTTTCTCCGCGGCTGGTTTACTGTTTCCCTACCATCTCGGGGTGGCTCAATTCCTTCTCGAGAAGGGGTACATTAAGGTGAATCTTTGTTCCTCTGACTATGGATTCAATCATCTTTTAGTTCCAGAGATGCCTGCCTGTTTTAGCATTTCGTGTTGTGGAAGAAAGGATTCAATCATCTTTTAGTTCCAAAGATGCCTGCCTGTTTTAGCATTTCGTGTTGTGGAAGAAAAGGTGTCATTTTGGGGAATCAAACTTAGTTTTCTTTTGCAATTCATTTGGGAGTTTATGGCACGTTGGTAGTTTGTTTATACCTCTTGCTTGTTTGGTGGGAAAGGAATTGGTTTCCTTTTTTACTACTTGCCAAAACGAGTACAAAATTCACCCCCTGATGTCGGAGCAGATCACCCAGAAACGGTTTGATAGCCAGTCCCGTCTCCTGGTAGTAGTTGCTTTAGAGGCTCTACCATAGATTGCCAAACAATTGGGAATCCTGTTGCCCTTCCTTTATACGTGTACAACAGTATATTCTTCAAACATCATTAAAAGAGATAGAATCTCTGACTATAGACAAAGCACTACAAAGAGCAACACCTTTCCATGCAAAATATGAATGAGAACTTGGGATCGGCCTCAATTTGGATCCGTCTAGCTCCTTCCCCAAAATGTGGCTTGGCTTTGTGTTATTTGGACCCTTTGAACGAGAGGAAAACTGTGGCTTAGGTAACACTTGTTGTGAAATAAAGTTCTCTTAAGATAAAGTAAGCTGCAAAGGCCAAAAGTAGCTCAGAACAACAATGACTGTTGCAGAGACACCTGCATGAAGGAGGAGGAAGAAGAAGAAGAAGAGCTACCTTCATTTCCACATGACATTCCTTTCCCTCCTCAGCTGGGTCAGACGAGAGGTTATGCCTCCATCTTTGGTCAAAATATGAATGACTACAGGGAGGTGAATGACCAACGAATAATGGTGAAAACAGGAAAAATGGCCTTTATTAGCCTCCAGTTTGGGGCTTTAGAACCTTCATAGGTGTTGTATCTTGAGCTACTGTATCCCATATGAGGTAGGTCATGAATGTATGTCTATTGATCAAATTTATCATGTCCTAAGTCTTGAGGTAGAATTGGGGGATAGAAAGATACAAAAATTGAGTAACAAATCAGCGGTTCCCAGTGCATGTAAATTTAAGTGTCCTTGTAACATTTTGCATATGATTGAAAGTGTATATATATGCTGCAGGTATTATAAGCTTATTTCTGACATAGTTCTCATGCTAAGGAGGGAATATTTAGTCAATTGTGGTAGCCCACTAGATCTATGTAACAGGTTTACAACCCCAGCAAGCATAATGAAAATGATTATTTGCTATGGTATTGGTTGTTGCACCTGGAGAAAGTCCTTCATTTCTTCAATGCACGGAGAAAGAGAGAGAGATTAGGCAGTAATTTATTAGCATAGCAATGTCTATTCTTATGTCATCGGTATGTTAGTCCTACGACTTATGTGTGAATTCTGGTAAAGATAAAAGGTCCTCTTTCTGTCTATGTGTCAGCATTGACTTTTGATTTGATTCTTCCTGATAACATGAGAAGACTGTAAAACCCCCATTTTTCTCATTTTTTTCGGTGCCTTGATCTCTCACTCTCCATTCTGCCTTGCTTGCTGAAGCTTTAGGTGTTCGGCATCAGGAGTAGGTAGCATTCAACTTCTTCTCAAAAGGGCCATCCTTCTTTTGTAGACAATGTTACTTGTTCATCCTTTTTCTAAGGTCTTAGCTACGAGGTCTAGTCCTTTCCAAGTCAGTGACCTGATTTACAACATTTTAGACGCAAAATAGGATATCTGATTGCAGATGTTTACAAGAACTTATATATATTATTTTGGTATCTATGCTCCCATTGGGCATTAGTCCAGCTTTTCATTTCATGTGACTTTGCTGGTTACATGGACTGCAAGACTAGAAAAGAGTTACTATGCACGTTAGATAATGCAAAGTAAGACTTTTCTATGATTGACTTCAATCCACCTTGAACTTTATTAGTGTTTCCACCAAATTGCCTTTTGGCATGGCATTCTAATGTGTGTTTGTATACATGGCTGTCATATGGGTGTGGATTGGATGGAAGCTATGTCTCAGTATGTTAATTAATCATGTTTAGACTTTATTTGTGTGTCTACATTGTAGATCTCATAATGAGTTAAATCATTTCATTGATTCAGGAAACCACACCACTCGCTGGCTCTTCAGCTGGTGCCGTAGTCTGTGTCGTAATTGCTTCTGGTAAGACCATGCAAGAAGCTCTGATGGCAACCAAGATTCTGGCTGAAGATTGCCGACTTAAAGGCACTGCATTTCGGCTTGGGGTACTTTTATATACTAGCACTGATTTTTTATTTGTATTTTGGAAGGTCACAATTAGACTGAATCAAATTAGTCTTCTTTTCTTCATTTGGTCCTTGTGTGATGCATAAACTAAGTGCAGAAATACTTATAAAAGTACCCTTGTGCCTTTAGTTACTTCATTGTGCTCTTTATTATTATTATATTACTTTATTATGATGTTTATTTTTTAAAGAAATTAGAAGCACACCCAAAAAATATATAGAATACTTTAATCGTTGCATGCTATCTTTGTTAAAAATTGAAACTCTATTTTAACTTAGCTTTTATATGTTATTTTGTTCAGGCAGTACTTAGGGATGTTCTGAATGATTTTCTTCCAGATGATGTGCACACTAGATCCAGTGGAAGAATTCGTGGTAAGCTTACTGTGATAAAGGAGTGCTGATGTTGAATTTGAATGACATTACAATCTTTAGCCTTTATATGGTATTCATACTCTCATGGGCTTCTCACTCCTTTTTCTGGATTCATCTATGATAATGGATCCTGCCATCCTGGTACAAAACTAGTTATTTCATCAACTATTTTTTTATGGCTTTATAAACCTGTTAGAATTACATAGCTTAGGGACCACATTCAAGATTTTGAATATTGTATGAAAAGTCATTATTATTTAACTGATACCAGACTTGTATTGTTGATGTCAATGATAACTTAAAGTAATGTTGCTGGAGTTTACAAATTTTCGTTTCATGCAGTTGCTATCACTCAACTATTGTGGAGGCCAAAGGGATTACTCGTGGACCAATTTGACTCCAAGGAAGATTTAATAAATGCAGTTTTTACGTCTTCCTTTATTCCAGGGTATGTTAGTTTAGTTTCTTTTCCTTTCTTTTTTGCAAGAACTTTGATATCAATTAAAGAATGACTTCATTTCTGGTCCAGCTATCTAGCTCCTCGGCCAGCCACTATATACCGTAATCGATTATGCATTGATGGGGGTTTGACATTGTTTATACCGCCAACTTCTGCTCCAAATACGGTAAGTAATTTTAGACTATATTCCATAATATGTTGAAGTATGTTTTGTTGGAATTTTTCAGGGTAGTTGGACTCATGTTTTTGTTGGTTTCTGCTGACTGCAAAAAAAATCAATGGTGGTGCCTATAAAGATCTTCTGAATGTTCCCAGTGAAGATGCATATGTATGCCGCATGGCATATTCATTTCTCTCTCTCTCTCTCTCTCATTTTAAATATCTTCCAAACAGCAATGGTAATCAAGTTGCCACTTCTATTCTTAATCGGACATGTGTAGTTCCAACCCTTGAACATGTGCTATAAGAAAGTTCGGTACTGTTCTAACTTTAACTCCCAAGTAAGAAGGATATGATGGTGCCTCTGACAGCACACCTAACAATTTTCTATTATAATCCTTAGTGCTATCCTATTTCAAATAGTGATGGACTACCTCTTCAATCATTTTACAAAATTCTCACCAGACTGTAAAATTTATGGTACTTCACCTTTGGTTCCACTTCAATGTTAATGGACACTGCGTTGGGCTGACTTTGATTTACTTGCCAGTCTGTTTGATACTTGTCTCTGTTACATATATGAATTTAATCCTGACCTGGATGTAACTCTGCAGCAACTTGGGGTTCATGAGTTGCTGTCACGAGTTTTTTTACTCTGATACGATATTATCGATATTTTATAGTCCAATTAAATATGTTCCATCTTTTTCATCTGAAATATCACTTTACTACCCTTTTCTTGGGAGCATTGATGTGTTAACTTGTACCATCTGGTTATCGTGGATGGTTGGACATAATCAAAATGCTTGAGATGATCCTTGTTGTTTAATTGCAGGTTCGTGTATGTGCTTTCCCTGCCAGTCGATTGGGACTGAAAGGGACTGGAATTAGCCCAGATTGCAATCCAGAAAACAGAGCTACTCCGCGACAGGTACTTGTGATTACTTAGGAGCATGCACCATTTATTTTTCATTCACTGGATTTTATAGTGAGCGATGTGCATCATGATGCATTGTGTCAATTTCAGCTTTTCAATTGGGCCCTGGAACCTGCAGATGATCACATCCTGGATGAGCTATACGAGCTCGGATATCTAGATGCATCTGTCTGGGCCAAGCTGAATCCTGTGGATACAATTGTGGAAGATGTAAATGGTCATATCAGGACATAATTCCGATGGCTTAAGGTAATTGATGGATGTGAAGGATTCAAACTGCCATTCCTGGAAATCAAATCTGGAACAAGTTTACGACACATAGAAGATTTTAATTCTTGTCAAATGCCCAAAACTAACTCATCAGGTTCGGAAAAAAGTCATGTACCCTCCCTCTTCAATATTTCAAATTCCTTGTGAAAGGAAGTGATCTGGATCGACTGGATCAGGGTTGCATAGAATACAAAAGCACCAAGTCTTTTACATGGAACACAAGAATTACTCCTTGAAATTAAAGATTCAAATAATTCTCACTTACTACTTTTCATGGCAGGAATTTGTAACATTACTACACTATACAACAATTCATACAATGTTATCATGTATTGTTGCAACTATGATATGTAATTTCGAATGGTACCATTCAGTACGGGCGATACGTACCAATTCGACGGTATATCGATACGCGGACCGTCCGTTATCGGACAGATCATGCTATAGTAAGAGGAAGAAATATTTAAAATTGTTCGATAAACCCTGATGTATCGCTCGATACGTCCTGGTGTATTGCTCGGTACGTCGGTACCGTATCATACCGAGCCAACCTCGAAACATCGGTACGGTACAATATTACTTACCTTGGTTGCAACCATCATTGACCATGATCAAACCCTCACTGGCTCAGGTAACATGGATGAGGATCACCAAATCTGTCATCCCACCTGGGAAGGTTATGATAATTTGTCATTCAACCTGTAAAATAATTTTCTCGAACATGTTTGCAAAACTCCTCTTTAAGGCTGGTTAGGACGTACGGTCTGTTAATTTTCCATGAACAACTTTATACCGGAGGAATGAACCACCTGAGAACATATTATTTGAACTATGGAATTATTCTGTCATTTGCATACAACAAATAGGAATAGATACAATCATTTACCAAGCTTCTTCCACCAACTGACAGATTGCAGGATGCTACACAAAACTTTTGAGAAAGATTGTCAACCGGATAGAAGGTTTTCCTCCGCTGCATATCTAATCAGGGAAAACTTTCTCCAGGAACTCAACAAATCGTTTTGAATACATCTTTGGTGCAACAGCAGAGATCGATAGCGGGTCGCACTTGAGTGATTTGCAGCAATGTTCAAATTTCTTCGTCATGTTGTACTCCTGCAATATGTCTATGATCCCAAAATAGAGAACAACATCATAGACCTCAACAGGATTAAATTCTGCTGAATGTAGCCCTTTGTTGTGAAGAGGCTTCCAATTAGCTTCAGCTGGCATGTTCACCCCTAGTTGTACACGCAACCTGTTTAAAATTTTATTGGATGTCTTAGCCAAAAGTTTACAGTGTTGAAATTACTCAGTCCCACAAATGTTAAACAAAATTTAAACCTAAATATGAACATTCTACAAGATATGGTTAAGATTCATATTCATGAAATCTGACATAGTTTTATGCTAATTGTCGATGGCCTAACACAACACTCAAACCTTTTTTTCATTAGGCTTGAGACTAACATTGACGGTGTTATGGTAATTAAAGGAGTTGAAATGATTAATATTGATGGTCTGAGGAGTTAGATGAAGACTTACAAAGACGAACTTTAATATTTAAATACTCTTAACTTGACTAAATATATGTTTTTTATAGATCTTAATGATGGCAAAATATATATTGTTACGGACATTCTACGAGATTGTTTTTCTTGCAGTTCTTTCCAAAACTATAGGCAGGCTTATAATTGGACATCAACACAGGAGTTGTTGATGACTAGAAAAATCTAGAAGTTTCTCAAACTCGAGACAATCTGAACAGAATGAAATTTTTTTATGGCCAAAAGGCTTCAAGGGAAGTTCTAACAACATGCTAAACAATTAACAGAGTGTTAGCAAGGGTATTGTATGTGAAGTTAATTTAACTAACTCTGCACAAGCCTCCACAAGATTCACGGCAACCCGGATATCTTTAGGGATGGTAGAGTCCAAAAACCATGGTTATCACAGCATGTTTGAACAGTCTAATGAAGAAATGACTGGTGCGAAAGCTTGGTCAATAAGCATCTCATTTGATGCGGTTTCAAGTCAATCAACTTCTGACATGGTCACAGGACAATTAGGTTTCAACAATAAAATATAGTAGTAGATTTGGGATTATCAATGCAAAACAGAACAAAATCAAAACATTGTTAATTTAAGACAAATCATATTTTCATGCATGGCGGTGGGAGCAGGGAATCAAATGGAATAGTTCAAACAAATTCTTTGGCGTAATTTTAACCATAAGCTCTTTTATAATGTCTAAAGGCAGCAAACATTAGCAAGATTAGCAATATGTAAACTCATCTCACCTTTTTAGTGGAGAAGAAGATCATTATTTTTCAGCATTCAAGTCCACATATGGTTTCCTTAAAATCTGTGTAAAATGCTTCAGGCTTCTTGGGCTCTTTTGTTTGACTACATCATTGCCTAGGTTTTAGAAGTTTGTAGTTTCTTGGGCACCTATGTTCCGCTACATCACTGCCTAGGTTTTAGAAGTATGTTGTAGAATTACCTCAACCAACTACATGGTGTATAGGCTGATTTGTACAATAGGAGGCAGCACATGGGTTGCAAAGTCCATGAGAACACAGCATTTTCAACTTGACAGTACCACAGAGGATTTTTTTTTCCTTGACAAATAAAAAAGAAGCTGGTGTCTTGAATGATAAACTACTTAACAACCCTGGAATGTTATCTAAATTTCTGTCAGATAGAGTGATTGTGCTCCCTGTATTGCTGTCAAAAACCCTGATTTAAGAGTTTCACTTTCTATGAATACCATCACAAATCCATCATCTTTCATACGTTTTAGGACAAGTGACTTCACAGCATAAGTTTGCACATCTTTTCAGATTATACTTCCACTTAGAATAATGCATATTAGTAAGCAAGAAAATATTAAGCCTTCAAATTAAAAACATTAATGAATATTACTCGAGACCCCAAAAGAAATTTTCATCCTTCTGTTGTACAGAATAGCGGGCAGATTAGATATGTAACTACAGCACGTGGCACTAAGACCCTTTAATATTAGAAGGAAAAAGATCGGACCATGACTACCACCAATCAAATCACAAAAAGCAATTTTCAGGCAACTGTGAGAAGAGAAGCACCTGATCCAAGGTTTTATGTGAACAATACTATATAATTATTTTACTTTAGTACTATGTTGACTACTAAATAAACAATAAATTGTGTCAAAATGGGAACTATTATCAACAAAATTGCCAACTATGTTCCTTGCAAGATGCTATGGAAAGGATTATAGAAACAGTACCTTCCTGTACCAGGCAAAAGAAGATCAACTTCCTTATTGTCCGCTGCAGATGCTCTTAAGGTGCTGCCTCGTATGTGTGAACCTGGCAGGCTACTGACAGAACTTGGTTCATGAGCGACCAAGCGTAAACCCTTTGGTGGAGTTTTGACTTCATCACGTAATTGAATATCAGCTGGAAGACAGAATGTGTCAATATATAGTTAGCAAAATCTAAAGAACAAGCAAGCTGGAACTCATGGAGCTTTTGACTAATTAAATTATAAAGCTTAACCCGAACTGCTTATAGAGAAATATCTTCTCTTCACTGAATACTCAAGATCTTCCATCATGGACTCCATTAAACTATAACTATTCTTAGATGTTGCAGATAAATCTGTATGCAGAAACTAAGGCACAACATATGCAAGTACGTGGCCATCATAAATCTCCATAGAACTGTGTTTGATTATTTACTGGCTCATTTGGTTTCTGCAATTCATATATATTCAACATTACTTCACTCAATATTTAAAAAACATCCTCCTCAACATCCAAAGGCCGATGCCAAAATGCAAATAGATAAAGAACCTTAATTGCCGATACTCTGGCATTTATGAAATCCACCAACTGATGTTTTCTCTAATGAGAAAAAAAAGAAACTATTACGATGACCCTGATTTAAAAAGTCATAGTTAAGCACTTGATTATGCTGATATCCCTAATTCCAAGGGAAATATTATCATCTATCATAAATTGGTAAGATGGGAAAATTGGAGCCAAGATGGTTTGAAGCTTAGCACAAAGGACTCATGGGAAACAATAGCTTCAAGCTAGGGGTGCTCGCTCTATTCTTCATAGTGATTCTGGTACTTGTTTAGATGGCCACACATGAAGGGGTACTGGTTCATCAAGAATCAAATAAGTTTATACTGCGACATTTTAGCTATTAGAGAAAGGTTCAGATGGTCACACGTGAAAGGGTTTGACATTTACACTTTCTGATGTTTCTGTTTTGGCTGATTGCCTGAATGACCAAGCGATCCTCCCTTGGGTTATTCTCAAATCTCAACAATGTTAGAGACACCATTGGTTTTTTTGTGATTTTGATAAGTTTAGATTACCCATGTCTTCAAGAAAGGTAATAGGAGCACTAATTGGCTGGTGAGCTATGCTAGAAAGCATTGCATTTCACAATTTTTTTCTCTTAAATTTTGACAAAAGCAACCTGTTTTTCTTGAGTGTTTCTAAGTAATATAGTTTCTCTTTTTTGTGAAAAAAAGGAGCATGTCTATAGACAGAACCAGGTTGCTTTATACAAGGTTAAAAAAACTTTGAGATGAAATGTATGTCAATAAGAACTTACCTCACATTTTACTATGCATCTTTCTAAAGGATTAGCTAAATTTTAGAGGTTGCTAATATAATTAATTTGCTCAGAACATATATATCAATTATAATATAAAGAATGACTATTGATTAAATTACAGAAAAAAGGGAACATTATATACAATTAGAAGTTTAGAACATAGACAATATAATTAAAATTGATAATCAGGTAAGCTGTAGAAGCTGTATAAAAGATGCTAATTTGTCAAAAGATACTGATTTGTCAAAGCATAAGCTGTTCATTAAAATGCAGATGGCAGATACATGAACACAAACAGAAGTTTATGTATTTAGCTTAGTTAGATACCAGAACTGGAGAAGATACCTACCGTTATCATCTGCTGAATTTGCACTATGCTTCAGTAAATTCTGAGATTTTGAATAAGCCTTCAGATGTTCAGGAGCTCTAAAATGCAGTCCCAACAACATGCTATAATCAATTATAGATTGTGATTCTAGGAACTTGCAATCTAGAGAGATTTGTCTGCGGAAAAAAGAAAATAAAAAACTCAAGTGGTTGACGAGTATCTCTAGCATGTGAGCAGATAGATAAAATAGTACCTACAACTTACAATTTACATTATGTGATGCAATTTTCATTGTGAGAATATCAATCATAATTTGTTCTACT